GCCAGCGATGCTCACAATCCAGGAACAAATAATAGAAGAAGTTCTCATTAGTGGATCTTGGAGAATAGCAGTTAAGGGAGATGATGCTCATCTTTTCATTACAGGACTTGAGAGTTGATGACGAAGGTTAATCTAATCTAATGAGCACTAGATAGCAGCTCAGATTTGGAGTTCTAGTTTACATTCCCTTCTTTTGCCCTGGGATGTTAAAGACAATTACAGTTTTCTAATTGTTGCCTTGGCTGAAGGAAACAAATTGAGCACAGTTATCAGTAATACTGACCATATTTCAGATTAGTCCATGGTTAGCCTAAGGAATTTTTCATTTACTTAGATCCATATATGACAAAAGGAGACCACCAGGGGAGGCAGTAGCCTAGTGGTATTGTAACTAGACTGTTAAACCAGAGGACCCCAGATAATGTTCTGGGGACCTGGGTTCAAATCCCACCATTGCAAATGGTGTAATTTGAATTCAATAAATATCTGGAATTAAGAATCTAATGATGACCCTTGAATCTGTTGTTGATTGCCAGGAAAAATCTGTTTGGTCCACTACTGCCCTGTAAGGAAAGGAAACTACCATCCTTATCTGGTCTGATGTGACATGTGATTCCAGACCAACAGCAAAATGGTTGACTCTTAACTGCTGTCTGGGCAATAAATGCTGCTTCACCAGTGACACCCTCATCCTGTGAATGAATGAAAATAAACTCCATTCATTGTGCCTGTGCTGACTCTTCGAAAGAACTATCCAATTTGTCTTATTCACCTGTTCTTTAATCAAATCTCTTCAAATATTCCTTTTTCATGTATAATTCTGATCATCTTTACAAACATTATGATCAAATTTGCTTTAATCACCATTTCAGGCAGTGCATTGCAAGTCATAACACTTATTATATAGAGTTCATCTTCCTGCTGGACCTATTGCCATCCATCTTGATTCTGTGCCATCTGGAAAGCTTTTCCAAGATACTCTACCAAAGCTCTTCACAGGTTTGAAAACATCCCGTATTCTTCAAGGCAGAGAAGGTTAACAACTTCTTCAGTTTATTCACATCAACAGTCATCCCTGGGACTATATGAGAAAATCCTTTCTCCATCTTCTCCACAGCCTTGGTGTACTTTTGAAAATATGATGTCGAGAGTTGGCACAATTTTTGGGAAATCTAAAGCCCCCACTTACTATTTTTATGTTTCAGCATGGGTAAATTGGCATACCACATTGCAAAGGTCTGGGACTGGCTGGAGCATTGAAAGTTTCCCAAAGACCAAAGGATTATTAAAAAAGTAATAAAAAAAGAGCAAAAGTTAATTATGAAACTTAATGCAAAAATAAAAAAGCAGATATAAAAAGCTTCGAGACGTATATAAAAATGAAGTTAGAAGCTAAATGAATGTAGGCCCCTTTGAGAAAGAGGCTGCGGGGTTATAGGGAACACAGACACTAAAGCAATACTTCGCTTCAGTTTTCATTGTGGAGGACACTGAAACCATTCCAATAGTAATAGGTAATGCAGAGGTAATAGAAAAGAAGGAACTTAAAACAAATCACTATCACTAGGGAAAGCTACAGGAATTAAATGCAGATAAGCCCCAGTGGTCTGATAGCAACCAATCCAGGGTCTTAAAGAAGGTGGCAGCTAAGTTAGTGGATGTACTGCTTATAATGTTCCAAAATTCCCTGGATTCTGGATAGGTTTCAGTGATTGGAAAAATATTAGTATAATGGACTTATTCAAGAGAGAGGCAGAATGTAGGAAACCATAGAACAGTTAGTTTAATGTCTGTTGTTGGGAAATTTTTGGAATCAATTATTAAGGTAGTAGTAACAGGACACTTAAAAAGTCAAAATGCAATCTATCAGAGTAAGTAAGGGTAAATCAGGTTTGATTAATTTGCTAGAGGCCTTCCAAGATGTAACAAACAAAGCGGATAATGGAAGTCCTGTAGCTGTAGCATATCTGGACTTTCAGAAAGCATTTGATGTTGGACAGCACGGTGGCTTAGCGGTTAGCACTACTGCCTCCCAGCGCCAGGGCCCTAGGTTCAATTCCACCCCTGGGCGACTGTCTGTATGGAGTTTGCACATTCTCCCCGTCTGCATGGGTTTCCTCCCACAGTCCAGGCTAGGTGGATTGGCTATGATAAATTGCCTGTAGTGTTCAGGGACGTGTAGATTTGGTGGGTTATAGGATTGGTATGGACTTGTTGGGCCAAAGCAGCCTGTTTCTATGATAAGCTGTCACACAAAACGTTAAATACACAACGTAAAATCACGAGTTCAGGAAAACATTTACAAGGATGTTGCCGGGTTTGAATGAATAGGGAGAGGCTGAATAGGCGAGGGCTGTTTTCCCTGCAGCATCAGAGGCTGAGGGGTGACCTTGTAGAGGTTTATAAAATCATGACGGGTATGGATAGGGTGATTAGTCAAGGTCTTTTCCCCAGGATGGGGGAATCCAAAACTAGAGGTCATTGGTTTAAGGTGAGATGGGAAAGATTTAAAAAGGGCCTTTGGGGCAACTTTTTCATGCAGAGGGTGGTGCATGTATGGAACGAGTTGCCAGAGGAAGTGGTGGAGGCTGGTACAACATTTAAAAGGCATCTGGATGGGTATACGAATAGGAAGGGTTTAAGAGGGATACAAGCCAAATGGGACTAGATTTACTTAGGATATCTGGTTGGCATGGCCGGGTTGGACCGAAGGGTTTGTTTCCATGCTGTGCAGCTCTATGACGTGTGTTGGGTAATATATTAAATTGGATACAGGATCGGTGAACCAACAGAATGCAGAAAGTCATGATAAAAGGTTGTTCTGGTTGGTAAGCTGTAACTAATGGTACACCCCAGGGTTCGTTGCTGAGGTCCCAACTACTTATAATCTATATTAATGACTTGGATGTGGGATAGAATGCACTATAGCCAAATTTACAGATGGCACTAAATGGGTGGGAAAATAAGCTGCAATGAAGAAATAAGAAATTTACAAATGGGTATGGTTCGTTAGGTGAACGTTCCAAAATCTAGCAGTTGGAATTTCATGCAGATAAGTGTAAGGTTATCTATTTTGGTTGGAAGAATAAAAAGGAAACTTACTATTTAAATGGACAGAAAGTTTAAAATGCTTCGCTGCAGAAGAATATGGATACCCTTATGTATGAGTTGCAGAAAGCTAGTATGCAGGTACAGAAGGAGGGTAAACATAATTTTGTCATTTATTGCAAAAGGAATGGAGTATAAAATTAGGTAAGTTTTTTGCAATTGCACATACAGACTGCATTTAAATGACTACGTAGAGTTTTTGTCCCCTTACTTGAGGAAGGATGTAATTACATTGGAGGTTCATTAGATTAATTCCATAAGACAAGCCTTTCATCTCGGAGGAGGGATTGAGCAGTTTAGGACTATACTTGCTAGAGTTTATGAGGACGAGAGATCTATTTGAGGTATAAAAGATGCCAAATAGGATTGGCGAAGTACATATGGAGTAGATATTCACTACACAGGGGAATCTAGAAAAAGAGATCATAGATTTAAAGTTGAGATGAGGCGGAATTATTTCTCTCAAAAAGGGTCATGAATCTCTGGAATTCACTACCCCAGAGTGCAGTGGACACTGCAACGCTGAATAAATTTAACGCAGATCTTTTAAATCAGTAATAGGATAAAGGGCAATGGAGAGTGGGCAGGAAAATGAGGCCAAGATGAGAGGTGTCAAGATCATATTCAGGGGTAGAACAGGCTCAGTGGCTGAATTGCCGACTCCTGCTTTTAATTCTTACATTTCTATGTTCAGCAAGTTTGGTGGTCGGTACCTATGGCACTATACTTCAATTACTGGGTCAGGAGAAAAGGGGAGAAAACAGGGTACTGGCCGTTATGTCCAGTAGGCAGTCTGCACTACAGCTGCAATCAGATGTTTTGTATTCTGATACTTTGCTGCATAAAAATAAAATTTTGACGCTGTAATTCTCGGAAATTGCAGGAAGCAAAGAAGATACACCCTCAACAATTTGCAGACATGTGGCTGTTATACAGTGCAGCTGAAGCAAAACACTAGCCTCCGTATCCTAAGTATCTGTAACTTCCTGTGGTCTGGACGTATTCCTGCTCGCTGGATAGATTAATGTCATTAATGATATGCTTGATTTCTGCTATTAAAGAACAAAACGTACATGTTGAAAGGTGCTTGATTCAATCCTTTATCCCCAGAATATTATCAGGAGAAAGCTTTGTTGCTGCTAAGATTGGGAGGAAGAGCACCAAAATTGCCAGGCTGTCTTTTTAATGTTTAACGAGTGTTGTCCTTGTTTTCAAATCCATCCAATAACTCAATTCAGCCCACATCTCTACAACCTTTTCCAGCCTACAGCTCTCATATGTCACTGTGCTTCCTGAGCATTCTCGTTTTTATTCGCTTCACTAGTTGGCATGTCTTCAGCTATTTCAATCCTAAAGCCTGGGATTTCCTCCTTGAACCTTTTTGCTTCCCTCAGGACAGTCCTTTAAATCTAACTCTGGCTAGGCGTTTGGCCATCTATCCTAATTTCTCATGTAGCTCAGAGGCTAATTTTATTTGAAAATGTCCATAGTAAAAATTTCAAATTGTTTCATATGTTAAAGGCACATGAATACAAATTATTCAGTGGCCATGCTGGAGAATGAGTATATGGCCAAATTAATTGCACATTTTACAAACTGGATACTCAGCACTAAAACACAACCCTACAGATGATTAATGTACCTTAGCAGCAGTGCCTTCAAGAGAAGAATGAACAAATAGCCAGCATCACTCACTGACCAATTAAGACTTTATAGCACAATGTTCAGATCCTGGAACCTCTTGAGCAGATTGGTATCAACATGAGGGCATAACCATGGGTCAACAGGGCTGATAAAGAGTCAAACTATGTTCAAGTAAACCATGAGATTATCCCGTAGGAACCAAAAAACAAACTGAACTGTTGAACAAATTTATTTGAAAATTGGTTTATTTTTTGACAATTTTATTTCAGGTTTTCATTTTGATTGAATGCAGAAGTGTAAATTTATCTAGACATTTATTCTTCCAGAAAATAAAATACTACGAATGGATGATGGGAGATTCCATTATCAAATGTATCCTTGAAACTCTATGCCCAGATCTTTATGCTGAGCATATAATGAGGAACACCAGCAAATGAAGATCCCCAAGGAATCAGCAAAGTCACCAAGTATTTCCTTATTCTTGCCATTTACAAAGGACAACATTAATCTGATATTGCCATCAGCTTTATCCCCCTACTCAAAAATCTTCTAACTCCTTCCATGATTTTTGCTCTCCTGATTAAAGATTTCAAATGACACAGACCCAGTATTAAGTTCCTTGGCACCGTGACGTGCTTTGCATGGCAAAGTAATTCAGCCACATGGTTACTTAAGCACCTTGAGAGCCAAAGAAACTGGCATCGAAATGTCCGATTTCAGGTTTGAACAATCCATCTACATAACTTCAACACATTCCCAAAGAAATCCATGTATCAGCAGAACCTGCCAGACATATATTGATGTGTTGATGCCAGTGATTTAATCACATAACATGCCATTCCAAACACTGACTCCATCTGTGATTGTTTTAAGTGAGAAACCCTTTGGTTCCACTCTCCTCCTCCTCACTGCCATTTTGAGCACTGTCAACCTATTCAACCAAGAAGAGCTTCAAAGTCATATTTCAGTCACATACACACATCTTTCAACCAGTACCACTGTACAGCAATATAGGAGCGGTAAATTGACCTCATTTTGTCCCTCCCTAGAACAGTGCACAAAAACGGAGACTCCACTAATGCTTAACTCTGAAGAGGATGAGCCAGGAATAAAGTCTAGCCTCTGGTGTTAGCACTGGGCTACAATCCATTTGACTCTGAGAAAACAGGCTTTGAAATGCTGAGGTAGTGATCTGTTTAATTTCCCCATCCAATATTCTAATGAATTAATTCATCTTTGGACACAAGAAAGTCATCACTGTGTCCAATAAGTGACAGGTTTAACCAATTAAACATTAGTTTTAGGGCTGATGTCAGCAAAAATTTCTTCACACAAGGAGAGATCTAAATATGGAATTTACTTCCAGTGGTTCAAATGGCCTTTCCTGTCCTTGTAGGTATCTTGGAATAGAGACGTACATTTAACTACAAGCACAAAATTCTTCCACTCAGACTTTGCAGCACAGGCAAGTTTCATTTTAAAATTAGCAATGAGCATTTGTCACCTGCAAGTGAGTACTCTCAAGTGTAACCCTTATGGAAGAGATGTGTAAAGGGCCATTGATCTCAAGTAATAAATAAATATATTGTAACATGAAGATTGAAGCAAAATAAGTTTGAGACAGCATTAATAATCTTGAAATAATGGAACTGGAAACAATAAATGTTTGCACGATCTGGAAACACCACAGAACTATGAGAGTTTTACAAAGTTGTTCCCCAGAAGTTGATGTAACAATAACACTGATCTTGTTTACACATAAGGAACATGTAAAGAAGGGATTCAGTTTCAGCAAGGCATGTTATCTTTATTTCTTTATTTTTCTGCCTTTAGATTCTGTGTTTTGGTTAATTTTTCTGTGTTTTAAGATGGCGCTGGATTGTGGCGACACTATACAACACTTTTCACCGTATTTTGTAACAAAATAAACGTGACAATAAATAAATCAAATCAAATTGGAGTGTTAGCAAGAACTGCAACGTAAATAATTCACTCAAAAATAAGGACATATCATAACTTCAGATATCTCTTTAAATAACTGATAAAATAAACTCTTGACCTTGCACATAAAACAAGGATTGTAGCAGTCTACATTCATTACATCAATTGGAAGCCTTATGATCCAGATGGACTGAGAATCTGCAACGCACAACATCCCATGAGAGAGGATGTCATACTCACTAATGTAACACAATGGAGCACTGCCTCTAATCAATAAAATTGTCTTTGGGCTTTGTACAGTATGTGCTACAAAGAAACGTTTTTCATATGTTCTCTATTACAGGACAGAACACAACCAGAGATAATTATTTATACAGCGTTACAACTAACATGGCTTGCTGTAGGATCATGTTGCATGCTTGACTGCATTACTGACTATTTTTGAATATCCACTAATTCTAACTTCTTCTCCATCTATCAACTTCAAGAATCCAAAACAGGGAAAGTATTTTCTGGTATTGTCTTTAGCAAAGAGGCCAACAATAAACTACTGCTGTAAACCTGCCAATTCAAAGCACATATACCCAGTAAGGGTCATCTGGTATCTCTATGCAAATAGAACACATTAAAACAAAAATATATTTAGCATAGAATCAACTTCCATGTAGTTTCCTTGTCTCATTTCGTAAAGCAACTGTGGTTGAAAACTTAGTTACGTACTTATGGCACATGAGAACAGCATTTTTATTTTATGTACTCCTCCAATTGATGGTGAGGAAGAAACTTGCCTGTAAATTGCAAAAACAAAAAAAAAACTTACATCCAAGAATTTTCTCATCTGCAGAGCAGACCCTTATGATGGAGACTGCCAATATTTAAAACATTAGGCCAACCAACGAACTGATCTGGCCCAGCCCAATCTCAGTCATTCAATAACTAAGCAGGAAGGGAGAATTTGTCTGCCATTTTTCCTTACAAAGGAAGGGCATAAAATGCCCCATTTCACATAGTTTTACTGTAAAATAGGGATGTACCATAAATAAAAAGTACTCACCCCTCCCCAAAAAGTGGACTTCCCCTTTAATGCCTGCTTTCAGAACACAAGGACTTTCATAGTGGCAGCTGACAATGTTGGGAGAAAAGAGGAAACTAGATCACACAACATTATAAGTATTAAAACATCTGTAACAGTAGCAATTAAGACTTGTAATATAAAACAAGTTGTGGTACGCTGTTATATTAAACAGAGTTAGTCTTTTTCAGTTGCTTGAATGTTCTTCATATACTCAAATAACTATCACTGATGATTTACCAGATCTTTGCCACTAATCAGATAAACTTGACATTTAATTGCTTTCCACATCTTATTGCTTTTTATAACTATTTTCAATAAATTATTTTAAGAATAATAGGAGTCGTCAATGGAAAACACATTGTCACTGACAGAGGAAGAACATTCTTTGGTGCAAATAATCTGATGTTCAGGGAACAAACAATACTATTAACCAACAAAAAAGTGTCGGTCTACAGATCTACCACCGAATTAAGACAGAGATAGTAGGAACTGCAGATGCTGGAGAATCCAAGACAACAAGGTGCAGGGCTGGATGAACACAGCAGGCCAAGCAGCATCATAGGAGCAGACAGGCTGACGTTTCGGGCCTAGACCCTTCATCCGAAAAGATTTAAGACAGCCCACTTTAGTAAAGCAAGATAGAGGAACATCAGGTGTATTTGCTCTTTCAGTTTCTGCTGTCACAGCAAAGTCACATGCACTTAAAGTATTACAGTACAATACTGTAGTACACACTGAAGTAACTCTCTTGAATAGGATCTAGTACCTCCTGTACTTAAACACTAAGATTAATGTATCTTTTGACTGCCTGACGATACAGTTCCACTGGCCTACATAAAGTGCTTGATACTGCGAGAAGTGCACAATCCTCAGGGAAAGCTCAGATTGGGAAGTGGCAGTATATCTTCAAAAAGAACAATACTGTTAAAGTAGAAAAAGAAAATATCAACGAATGTTCAGTTGCTGACACGAGGAATGAATCCCATTATTTACATTAAAATCGATGAATAATGTAAAGAACATTTTTTCATAATATTAGAAAATCTCTGCAATGAAAATGCTGTTTGGTTTTAATTCTGCGGTCAATGAATTTTGTTATTGTTGTTCAGTATTATTTCCGATTTAGTTTGAGGCAAAATGGCAAATGCAAAAATTCTGAAAATAAGGTCCACAGGAAAGTTTGTTAACTTGCATGGCTAGTAACTTGCTTTGTTCTATTCATGTACAGTTTATGTTCCTGTCAGTCACAAACATGACCATAATGACGGTAAACAATTTGTTATAGCAAATGATGTGCTATTAAAATTTATTTGCTTTATCCCATTGGTGAACAGGCATATTTACTACCACTTGGCCTTTTCTATAAAATTAAAATACCCAGGCAGCAAATCATGCAGTGGGTATGATTAATTTCATAAATTCATTGCTAGCTGTTGAAAATCATTTGCCTGATACTTGAACAGAGATCAATGCCTTGCTGAAAGACAAGTCCAAAATACAAGACTAGGTGAATCAAAAATGCTGGAAATGTACAGCACTTCAGTCAGCATGAGAGTGAATCGATAAACTAACATTTGGGATATAGAATTGTTTTCAAAACTGAATAGAACAATGTATCTGGGCAAGATACAACATTCAGAGAAAGGATATATACATATGCACATGTTACAGATAATAATTTGAAGAAAAATCATGAGTAAAATGAAAAGAAAAACAATAAGACAAGTCGGTTTCATCATTCCAACCATGGCTCTGTGGGTTTCCCCATTGTACAGTTCCACCCTCCCACTGGTGTGTCTGTAATAAAATATCTTCTCACTTATTTTTCAGGTTTTATGTTCTATTCACTGATGTTGGTTGATCTGTTATGTTTCTAGATTCTATTTCAATTTTAGATTTCAGCATTGCAAGTTCAGTTATTATCCATAGGATTACTTGAACGATGCAACAGTGATGATAAGGATGCAATATGGTTGAATACAAGCTTTAAGAAAAAAGGATGGAACCAGTAAGTGGAGAGAGCAAAAACTAGTCATACAATTTAAAACCAATAAAATTCAGCAAGTATCTGGGAAGGGATCACTCTGCCATGGGAGCGGAAATCACTGGTGTTACTGGAACAAGTGGAACAGTGATCAGTGTTGCATATGATTAATAAACTATTGAAGAAGTCCTAGTTCCATAAATCCAATTCCTTAGAACATATTTTGGATAAATGAAGTAGCATCTATATAATTCAATGAGTTTACGTCCAGCAGCATTGCACAGAGTCAGAATCAGTTAAACCAGGATTAGAAGGTAGAGATAAATGGACCAAAAGGTGTGCAAATATAATTCAATGCCCATTTAAAATGCCCAGTATCCTTCTATTTCCATTTTCAATTCCTACTTTCACTTACTTAATGGAAACACAGAAGTAAACTTACCACACTACAATCACACCCTCTCACAGCAGAGGTACAGCACTGGCAAGAGTGCATCTTTGTAGCAAGAGAAGCCTACAAAGTACATTTCTAATAAAAATGTTGATTGAGGAATTTATACTGGAAAACTAAATTGGAAGCACAAACAGATTTAAGATATTTATTATCATAAATTCCTGCAAACAGATCAGGACAGTAAATGCTCTATCATCAATCTTCATAAAGCTCGAGATCTATAATTCTGACCAAACGAGCAAGTTTGCTACAAAAACTATGGTTCAAGTTATTCTTCACAAAACAGGAAAAAAGGTACTTTAACTAAAAAGTGCTTTACATAAAAATATCCAGTCTTGTTAAAAACTTGAGATTACCAAGTGACCTTCAAACCGTACACTCCTTTTTCCTCATACTGTACCTTTACAGGAAAGCACATCCCTTCCTACATGGCAAGAACTTCCATTGCGTTAACAGCATACTACCTTGTTTAATCACCCTTCCTGTTATATACATACACACACACTGTAATGTACTATATTAATGTGTTAGAATGGCCCCAGTGACACCACATCCTTGCATTAGCCCAACAGGTCCCTTGACTATAGTAGCATACTGTAGCTTGACTAAAATGATCAATTAACTGGGTGGCTACATTATACATTCCAATCCTTAATCTCTTCCTCCTTTCCCTGTACTATTACTTCCGTGTTTCAACAGCCCGTAATACAATTTCTGTCTACAATATTCGAGCTGTCATATTTATTTGTTATATCAAGGTTCTAGCAAATTCCATGTAACTACAACAATTATATGCTAGTATCTAACTTGTTTTTAGACTATTGATGTGAAGGTTTTCCTCTACATATAGGCACCACTACTAGTTCTACACAGATTTTCAAATCAGCACTCAAACAATGCTAGGTGCTAATTGTTTGCAAAATAAAATGAGCACCAAAAGAGATGAATTCTCTGATTAAAACAGGGAAAAATGATCTTTTGGAAATGCTTTTCTGGTATTTCCGCCATTCTAGGTATCTGGTGTGCTATGCCAAACTACTTGAGAGAGCTGCACTCACTACCCTTAGCCCCAGTGATTCCCGATATAATCAGTATTTATTTGGATAGCCTATTAGAATTACAATCATTCTCAAATTTGATGTAAATATTAGAAACAAAAAGCTCTCATTTCCATACTCCACCTCCTCCCACAAACAAACAGGTAATGCCAGACATAAAACAAGACAAAATTACTGTTTAAAAAATGGGATGTAAGCATTATTGCTATGTTCTGAATTGATAAGATCAAAATTGCAGAATGACTTTTGCCATCTGAATCTATGGTGTAGGCTGATTTAGAATTCTCATTTCATGGGAATCAACTGTATGTTTGCTTGTTGTGTGGACGTTTTAACAGCCTACACACAGGCCGAGCTCTGCCTGTACTGTGGTCTATTTCCACAATCTCTCTCCTGTGCCGTTGTACCATGCTGCTGATGGTCAAACAGCCAAACTGTTATTTCCAGTCAGGCATTTGCTCTCCATGTGCTCACAATGGTCTTTGGAAAGGAATACAAGAATATGAAAAGGTGCAGGGGAAAGAACAGTGGAGAAAGCAAAAGGAAAACCTCGCATATAATCTCCTGATCTACCAAGTACTGCTTAACTGAATGGAAAATATTACCATGCTGTTTCACCAAATGGCTTTGAAAAATTTTTTAAAAATCTTTCTAAAAAAATTCAAGCAACGCACCAGCAAAAGCCACTGTGTTCTCATGAAGCAAACTTTTTTCAATCATTATATATCCACACAAAGCTGATACGCACCCTCCAACAGTGCAGTTGGGAAAAATATACTTATATAATTTTAACAGCTTTAAGTCTTCACACCAAACCCAACATGTAGATCTAATACTTTCTCTCCATCAGAGATGTGTCCATTGCCTGGTTAACAGGTCAAGTAATTGAAAGATATGGAGGGAGAATGAAGTGGAATTAATTCATTGTGCTTAAAAACATCAAAAAAATTGCAGACAGACAATCTACCTAGTAACACATAATGGTCTTAATTCCTAATAACACCATCTGAATTGCTGAACAGGTTGTAATGCATCTATTTTCTGCTGCACTAATGGATCCTACTATGACTTAAAAAACTATCCATACCCATACCACCTCCATTTAAGGTCATGTAGTCCAGCAGTATCTCAGTGACCAGGACATCTCTTGCCATTTCACATCTGCAGCGACTAGCCAATATATAACTGCGACAATTTCTTTATTTACTGATGCTGGCAGCTGCAGCAGTGAAAGGAACACACACAAAAGATGTAAGATGGGAAAAGTAAAACATAATTCTTTGTAAAACATGGTCCAATGTGGAGACTACTTTCTGTTGCCGAGAGCATTTGCAAATTTTCTTCCAACATTCCACTCTCCTTTAATGGCAAAAGCTGGGCCAAATAAAATTTTCTTCACTGCCTGTTTGAGCTGTCCAAAGGGATATTTTCTCCACTTCTGAGTGCCTTATGTAAGGATTCATTTCTACTAGTTTTAAGGACTTTTGTTACATAAACCGGAATGTGCAATGTGATTAAGCTTAGAATATCTTGCAAACCATTTGTGCTATATCGGATGTATATTAGTTATAAATAAATATATAATCAATCAATCACACAAATAATATTGACTCTCTCCTGGCCCTCAAAAATTCTTAAATATTTGTTATAAGTTAAGAAGGAAACAAAAAAAAAATACTGAAATGGTACAATTCATTATGAACAGTGTCTTCCTCAAACTGCCTTCCTTCATTACTCGCTTCAGTCAGTGTGCAACCAATACACCACAGTCTGTTCAGTTAAGATCTTTAAAAGAGAAATATAGTTCAATCAGCTCTTCCTTCTAATTGGGCCTCATCACACCACATATCGTATTGTTGCACGTGGCCGCCAAGCTAACAATGGCATCAACACTGATGAGATAAGGTGGGATGGGAGAGGAGAAGAAAAAACAAGATGTCAGGAAACCTTGTTTTTGTTAAAAAAAAACACACCAATCTGTCAGCTATCAAAAATGTCTAGATCAGCTGGGTAACTGGATCTGTTCTGAGAAGTACACAATATTTTCCCATTGTTTCCAGAGGGAGACAAGGAACAATACCAGCAGCAGTGTGCTTAACACCCGGAACCGTGTCTTCATGAGAGGAGTGATGAAGTTTGCAATGGTGGAGACAAAGACCAGTATGACAGCCATGAGTGCCAAGATGACATTGATGAATTTTCCCAGCAGGGCCCTCGCATTTGCGTTCTCCACCCCTTCCAGCTGTACCACCTGCTGCTGCTGTTGCTGAAGCTCCAGTTTGGTGATGCGGGTTAGACATGACTCCAGAGCTTCCTGTAAGTGGTGAACAAATAAAAAAAGCAAAATGAGTAATACTTTTTTATCACATCCTATTCGTCTCAAAGCCAGCTTCAATGCAGATTCAGTTTGATAGTAGATGAAAGAGTCAGTAACAAACTAGGTTGACAAGTCAAAAAAAATGGCTGCTATGAAAAAAACCGTTGCTGTATGGGGCAGCTCCAAAGCTCCAAGTTCTGGCCAAAGATAGAACAAAGACACAACAATGCTACGGTTGATTTGAGCACTGGATAACCAAACTGGAAAGCATTCTACTCTTAGAACTAACATCTCTCACTGACAAAAACCCTATCCTCCTCTTGAGCATTGTTGGTGAAGATGGATAGAAAATGTACAAATTACAAGGCAAAATGAGGAGACATTCCAGGATGTAATTTATTTAATCTCTACTAAAAATCCACCGAAATATATCAGCTCTGCCAGTGAAAAAACATTTCTTACAGCCATGTGTTATTGATAAATCCATCAACTATTTTAGAGGCAATTTCACCCAGAAATCTATCCATATTATGTTGTTGGAACATGGCTCAACTGCAGCGTTGTATAAAGAAAATTAAGGCAAAGCAAAAACAAAAGCCAATTAACGCATCCAGTACACTTCATCCATTCTCCCTTACAGTTACATAAAATTATACAGCAGAGGGCAACCATTCAGCATATGGCGCATGAACAAGCTCTTTGAAAGAGTTATCCAATTAGTCTCAGTTCTGTTCCTTACCTATGTAGTTACATATTTATTTTCTTTATTAAGTATTTATCCAATTCTCTTTTCACAGTTACTAATGAATTTGCTCCCTGCTTTTTCAGAAAGTGTATTGTAAGTTATCATAACTTACTGAATAGAAATGAACCGATATTTTCTGTTTTAGTTTGTCAATTATGTTAAATTTTTGTCCTTATATTACTGATCCTCCTGTTAGTAAAAGCAGTTTCTCCCCAACTCTATTACAACTTCATAATTTTGAACAATCTTATTAAATCTCCCCTTAAACTTAACAGAAAGTTATTAACATTAATATTAGGTGCTCTGTTTATAAGGCAACAGCACCATTCATTGAACCCCTACTTTATGATAAGGTTCCATAACACACATCTCCTGAAAACAAATTTAAATAACAACAAAATGAACTTTAACATCTTCAAATACCTGGAAACTGTATATGATGCATTACTATGGGAAACGTGTACATTTGTATAGCTCATTCACATTACTGTCAATTAGTTCAATTCTCAAAGACTACAGAAAAATATTCAAACACCTACTATTAACAAATGAATATCCCCAATAAAAACTGATCTGTATTTGGCAGAAGGAACTGACAGCAAATCCAAATGAATAAATGAAGTAGGTATGAAAATGGATTTTCAAGGGTAGAGAGGGAAAAACAAAAAAAGAGGGAAAAATCACTTTTACAGCTGTTATACATCAGAGACTAGTGCGAAAGGTCCTTTAGTCCTTTAAAAGGTTAAAGGCCACAGAGGAAATGAAGTCGCAGCCAGAGTGCTGTGTGGTCACCAGACAATGCAGAGTGGCTGTAAATGAGTCAGACCAGGATCAGACAGTTTAGGAATGTGTCTGCTCAGGCACTCTTGCACTTGTCAGTTACATCCTTCTCTGAACAATACATTTCGCAGTGTGAGATTATCTTGGATTGACCATATCAAAGCAAAGACTAATATGAGTATCCTAAACTTCCCAGACACCCACATACATACAAACCACATGCATTCTTCAGCTCAACAGAATGTGCTTTCCTTGTCTATTTTTTCATGCCAAATTGCCACACATACCATATCCTGACCAAGAAAATACTTCATCTGCAGAGCACTGTTGTGCAAACTGAGGTGCTTTTAGACCTGCATGTTTCCCTTTTGAGAAGGCTTAGCTATGATCAAGAATTTATCACTAGGGGAATTACAGGGGAAAGAATCTGCAAAACAAGATTCTGTACCACAATGTATTTGAGATTTCCATAATTGTTTATAAAATAACAATAATAGTAAGACCATCCAACCCCTTCAGCCTGTAGGGAGAGATGCTTATTTAACGAGCCGGTGTAGGCATGATGGGCCAAATGGCTTCCTTCTGCATCATCAGTTTGGTGATTTACCTGCCTTCATTGTAACTCTTAATACACTTCCTAAATAAAAATCTTACTGGTTTTGACATTTCAGTTAACCTTGCCTTAACCATGTTTTTGGTAAGGAGTTCTATTTCTACTACTGTTTTATGTAAAGAAATGCTTCCTGACGTCAATTCTAGACATCCTAGCTCTAATACTGAGGTTCTTGTTCTAAGTTTCCCAACCAAAGGAAATAATTTTCCCTATGCACATTATAAACTCCTTTAATCATCTTAAACAGCTCAATAAAATTTGCCCTGAATTATTTATACATAAGGAAATTCAAGCCCAGTTTACGCAACCTTCACTGCAACTTAATTCTTTTTGTTCTAGATATCTACTAGTTATCTCCAGGCTAAATTCACGGTTTGTGCCAACTTAATTAATCACTCAGACACAGGAAAAATACACCCAGATTTATGCCCACAACGAGTATCCTGCTAGAAAGCACACTTGAGTATATACAATAACATCAGCATTAGACTCAACCACGATGCTCCAATGGTCATACAGCCCACTAGCATTCACTCTCCTTTGACAGCGCCTTCCACACCACTTAGAGCAAGGGCAGCATTAGAACACCATCACCGATGATATCCCCACATGTTTTACACACCGTATTGCTTCTCTTTTGGATTAAAATTCTGGTACCCCCTCCCTAATAAGTATTGCAACAACTCAAAGATAATTAGAGAAGCACAATAAAATGCCTCATTGGGAGCATCCTATATCCCAATAATCTACAATCAAGATACTTAAAGGTTGGTTAGTTCAGCATGGTCGCAAAGAAATAGTTGTGTTTATGGAATTGCATAACTACATAAGTCAGCACCTTTGAGGAAGAATGGGAGAAAAAGAATGGCACCACTGAATAGAAAAGTTAAATGACCAAATGAATCAACTTCGAGCAGTTTATGTCAGCAATGGTACTGCTGTGCTAAGGTTTCACTAAAGTGGCCCAGTGAGAATTGTGCCCAGTGAGAATTGTGCCCAGTGAGAATTGTGCCCAGTGAGAATTGTGCCCAGTGAGAATAAGCCTGTCTGAATGGAGTTACTGGAGGAGGGAATGATTGAAGATTGCCCAAAAAGTAAGCTGCACTCAGATGCTACACCCATTTCTGAAGAAGGGTCCCAACCCAAAACGTCAGCTTTTCTGCTCCTCTGATGCTGCCTGGCCCGCTGTGTTCCTCTAGCTCCATACTGTGTTGTCTCTGCACTCAAATGAGTATAGTTTTTCTAAAAATGCCATTATGTTTTATTGCCAAAATCTACAAATAAGACATGAGCACTACATTCTCACAGAGATCTGCTCAAACGGATTTGAAAGCAATATATTCGCAATAAATTGCAAAATATTTCAGCTGATCTACATTCATTTGGGGGTGTGGGGGGCAGAAGTGATAAAAGACATTGGAGATCTGCTATTAGCAATTATTTGAATGTGGAACTACTGGAGTCACCCAGTAGCTTCCAATTCTGTTATTTCTATCAATGCTATCCAAAGATGCAGGAAAAGAGAGTCTTGGCTCATTCATCCAACAGAATGAATTTCAATCCTATTATGAAGTATCTCTTTCCCCTTAGTAGCACAGCTGAAGTTTCCACCTAGGGTATTTGGAGGCATGCTCACCAACCAAAACAACTCATTGCTTAGCAGCAGTACATACCTGGATATCTCTGGCCCTCTCATCTGACTGGTATGCAACTTTTTCCTCCATACTAGCAAGTTCCTGCTTCAAGTTAGACATTTCGTTCTGATGAAGTTCAGTCAGATCATTCAATTGTTCCTCCAGGCGCTCATACCTGTATAGAGAGTTACAATTTACAGTGCTTATACATGAACATATGAATTAGGGGAAGTAGGACAATTGGGGTAATACTGAGATTATACTGAATAAAAACCGAAAGAACTACGGATGCTGTAAATCAGGAACAAAAACAAATTTGGTGGAAAAGCTCAGCAGGTCTGGCTGCATCTGTGAAGGGAAAAAACAGAGTTAACATTTCGGGTCCGGTGATCCCTTCCTCAGAGGAAGGGTCACCAGACCCGAAACATTAACTAATTTTTCCTTCACAGATGCTGCCAGACCTGCTGAGCTTTTCCACCAAATTTGTTTTTGCTCCTGAGATTATACTGCTTCTGTAGAAAGTCAAAAGATCATTGACCCAAAATGTAAACTCCATTTCTCTCACCACAGGTGCCTTCCATAGCCAGTGAGCATTGCCAGCATTTTGGTTCTAATTGCAGATTTCCAGTAATATTTGAGTCTCATTTTTAAAATAGACCCTATCCTTCTCTTAATGTTCAATGTACCATTACAAGGAGTAGTAGAAGATACTCTGCAGTAGTTTCAGATCATTTTCTTGCATTCTTAGAAGCTGTACTTGTACAGACCATGCAGAACATACCATGTAACACTACAAATCTACACTTTTACTAACTTGGATGATCCAATAGGAGATGCACTCTACTTGGTACCACTTAGAAATCAATGAACTCAAGAGACATTACACTCCTGGCCTACTGTGGTTACTTTGAGGATAAAGCAGAGACAGGGTCTTCAATGTCAAGAACACAGAAGAAAGACTGGAAAATGCTGGACTCTTCAGAATTCAGAGGTGGCTAATTAGAAATCACCTGTACAAGTATACAAAATACTTACTGGATAACAAGAGGTTAATCCTCAGCTGTATCTCAAATTAAATTTAAATTGGTGAATAAGAGAACAAAAAGTACAAATTGGGATATTGTTTACTTTGGGACTAATATTAGGAGGCATCTTTTCACATAGCAATAATTATTTAAATGTTAATTGCAGTAAGCATGTTATTCTCAACTTAATTGGAGAGATAATGCAGTTTCATTTGAATTGGGAGATGTGCCGTTCTCGGTCATGAATTACTCTGCTCTTAAAGTGGACTTTTGGCCCATAAATGTCACAAAGTTTAATTATTGGCAAGAAAAAAATAAAATGATATCAACCTGAACTGCAAATTAGAGAGGAATTACTAATTTCAACCCCCAGGTTAATGACTGCAGGAAACAGCTAAATGGAATTGATGTACAGGTCAAGTAGCATTTAATCAAACAGTGGAACAGGTCATAACTACTCACTAGTCCAGTTCCTATTTCTATTTTCTCCTTTAATAAAAGGAAGGCAGTGAGCTGCCTTCCTGAACTCCTGCAGTCCATTCGCTGTAGATCAACCCACAGTGCTGTTAGGAATGGAGTTCCAGGATTTTGACCCAATGACCGTGAAGCTATATTTCCAGGTCAGGATGTGAACTTGCACATGGTGCTGTTCCCACATATCTGCTTTCTTGTCCTCCTAGATGCTGGAAGCTGTGGGTTTGGTGTAATGTGTCTTGGTGAATTTCTGCAGTGATTGGTGTTGGAGGGAGTAAATGTTTATGGATGTAGTGCCAATCAAGTGGGCTGCTTTGTTCTGGATGGTGTCTGACTGTTGTTGGAGCTGCACTCATCCGAGTGGGAGTACTGCATCACATTGCTGATTTCAGCCTTGTAGCTGGGGTGCTATGGAGAATCAGGAGGTATGTTACTCATTGCAAGATTCCTAGTCTCTGTTTAGTTGACAAACGGACTATGTTTAGTTGAAGTCACTCATTCACATTTGCTAGAAGCTGTTTATATTCATTAGCAGGGCCCTGACCTCTGCAAGCAAGAAGAGCATATCCAGGTGGTACCAAGTAGAGTGCATCTCCTATTGGATCATCCAAGTTAATAAAAGTGTAGATTTGTAGTGAGTTACATGGTATGTTCTGCATGGTCTGGATATCCAGCAGAACAAAAGCATAGTCATCAATAGTTCCCTGGTGCATTTGGCAATGCTTCAACCAATCAGAATCTACCAGCCTACTAATCAGCACCCTTTTCTCACCAAAGGTAAGCTGATGTTTCCTCTAAAATTTGGTACTCCTGCGCCTATTCTAATGCATGCAAAATGAAAAGCTTGGACAACATTCCTCTTTCTCAGTAATACTTCAGTCCCATACTGCAAAGCGACTAGTCCTGTAAGACTGTCAAAACATAGCATTAAATGTTCAAACAAAAATGAAAGCTTGTTTTGCATCTGTAATATAGTGATATCTATGATGTCATAGAGAGGCACTTTCACTCAACTCTATCAACATACTGCCATTACACTGCTTAGAGAGAAGATAGGTACAGAAGTACTGGGGTAAATGTGATATGATCAATTTACACAATCATTTTTTTTGAAAATTGCAACAATAAAACATGGTCATTACAGACTATAGGTTAGTAAATTAAATTTAGTAAGCTATTTAGTCATTTATCATGTTCTTTCTTGAATAGTGACCGAATATTTAAAATTCAGAATCTGTGTACCGCTTACACTGTCGCATTGGCACCCTCAGTCACTCATTTTATAACTTAACCTGCAAATGATGTGCTCAAGGAGAACATATACAGCTGACCTGTTCTGGGGATGTGAACTGCACAGGTAGGTGGTTTTTCATCAGTGACTAATTCAGAAGAGATTGCAAACTGGCATTATACCATGGTGGATGGGGATGAAGAACATTTGAAGTGTAGGCAGGGAAGGAGTCAGGAAATCTAGAAAGGGGAACATGGAGGGAGACAGAGAAGCCTGAGAGGGGCATGAGGGGCAAGGAGTGAACAGGGGAGTGGAAAATGACCTGGAACAGACTGTAAATAAAGATTTAGTGTAGGGCACAAAGAAGTCATTTTTGGAGCGTGAAATCTGTAAGTGTAAAAAAGCGACAAGGCAGCTGAATTTACTTTAACTTTTCTAGCTGTGTTATTCTCCAAAAGTTAAGAATTTTGTCAATAAGCTAATAATCTGCAAGAAAATGGGTTTGATTCAGTGATAGACAAGAACACGTACGACACCAATAGATGGGTAAGCCACGAGGGAGAAATGCAAGAAGGATTAAAATAGTTACATAAATGCTTGATATAATCAACATCAAATTGTGGAGAAAGAAACAGAGGTTAATATTTCAGCTTGATGATCTTTCATTAGAACGGAGATATTTCACATTGGGGGAGAAAGTAAAATAGGACATAAAAGAACAAGTGGGAGAGATATAGTTGAGTGCAAGAGTGATTAAATGACTAAGTGGTGACGGTAGAAGATAAAGGGGGAAAAAGTATGGGAACTGAAGAGGGGTCTACAGACGGTGTCAATAATTACAGCAGAATGGTGTGGGGAAAGGTATAGGTCAATCAGGCAAAGAGAAGATGGTTCCTGAACCCCAGAAATGTGGTGGAAGACAGACTGGAAGGCCCTGGGATCAGTAGATCCCAATTATACTTCCTGTTCCTAGCCTATTTCTGTATCTTGTGCCTGCTGAAAAGCCATTCAACTCAATATTTTCCAGTTCTGACCTAAAACACTAATTCTGGTGTGGAGTCCTTCCAGGATTTGTAGTTTTTATTATCAGAAATCACAACACCAGGTGAAAGTCCAACAGGTTTATTTGAAAACACAAGCTTTCGGCAGCTCAGTCCTTCTTCAGGTGTTAGTGAGAGAGGTAGTATCAGATACAGAATTCGTAAGTAAAAGATCAAAAGGGTCACACCACTGATGAGGATGGGCCTCGTGTCCTGTTCCTGTGAGGGCATCCTTCAACACCTTCAGGTGTCAATCACATTCCTCCTATTCCCAAACAGCTTCCACCCTAAACATATTAAAACAGGCATCTCCTGCAGCCAAGCCCTAGGCATACACAGGATCTGAAGGTGTCGAAGGACGCCCTCATAGGAACAGGATACGAGGCCCAGCTCATGGATCGCCAGTTCAGACATACTACAGCGAAAACCTGGAATGACCTCTTCAGAAGACAGACACAGGTACATCCGACAGGGTACCCTTCATCTTCCATTACTTCCCAGGAGTGGAGAAACTACACCATGTTTGTCGCAGCCTTGGAGTACATTATCAATGATGGTGAGCACCTCGCCAAGATCTTCTCCATGTCTCCAGTTCTCACCTTCAAATAGCCCATTGTTTGCAGCAAACTACCCAGCCTTCAGGATAACATCAACCACAAAACTATACAACACTATCATGACAACCTCTGCAAGCCATGCCGGATCTTCGACATGGACACCACCATCACACATGGCAACACCATCCTCCATGTGCACAGCAGATACTCATGTGACTCGGCTAACATTGTCTATTGCATATGCTACAGGGCAAGGATGCCCAGAGGCATGGCACATTGGTGAAACCATGCAGAGGCTACTACAACAGATGAATGGACACCGTGCAACAAGTCGCTAAACGGGGATGTTCCTGCCCAGTGGGGGAGGCACTTCAATGGTCAAGGACATCCGGCCTCCGACCTTTGGGTAAAACATCCTCTAAAAGGCGGACATGTGGATACACAACAATGCAGAAGAATTGCTGAGCAGAGGTTGATAGCCAAGCTCGGAACCCATGAGGACGGCCTCAACTGGGATCTTGGGGTTTATAATCGCGCTACAGGTGACCCCACCTCACACCCATACACCCTCTCCACCAGCCCCACCCCCCCACCACACACACACACACACAAATAAATCTATGGGGGAATTTGTATTTGCAGATACATTCTACCTTGTTCAAAAAACACACAAGTTATAGACAGTCAATGCTTTAGAAATAAAACCAGTCTGACTCCAAACCAAAACATAGATTCTAAACAAAGCCTCACATCTAACATGCACTGTCCGACCTAAAACGGCACCTCTTCTTTATACTGATAAAACCTTTAGATCATTCAGGACAGTGATTTGAAAGGAATTCAAGGAT